TGCATTTTCTACTAGTTGATGTCCATGTAAAGGCTCCTTGTTTTGAGTGTGTACTTAATGCAGTTTTCATCCTTCTTATAGTTGCCCTTCAGGAGCAAAGACTGGTCACTGTCAGAACTCGATGCTTTACTGCTGGCCGGCACAGTCGGACACACCCTTAGTCTGGCGGCCAGCAGCTTCGTGGAAGAGGAGCACCAAACCTGGTACTTTCTGCTCAACACCCTCTGCCTCGCAGTCTTCCAGGATGTCTGCCGCAAATACTTCAGAGAGCAGAGAGACACTTCGGACGAAGACGAGCATATCCTCCTTTCCAAAGATTGTCACTCATCTGTTCACCAAAAAGCAGACATTTGCTCAGAGAAATGGCTAGCATTAGCCACGCCCCCTTTCACTCTGATCTGCTGCAGACTGCTGCGCTCCCTCAACCAGACTGGAGTACAGTGGGCTCATCTTCCTGACATGGGACATTGGCTAAACAGGTTTGGTTTTCCAGTACCCTCAGTTATTTTATGTAAATAGTGTAGCAGCACCCAGATATATGTTCTTTGCAGTAAACTAAGCATGGAGGATCCCCTGAACATCTAACAACAGAGGTCGACTGTTCTACTGTCTTCGACTCCAGAAATGCATATTTTAGTCATTTGTTTGGGTTAATCATGGTTTAGTTTGATTTATTTATGTTGGTTTTAGTCTGTTTAAACTCGGTTTGGGGTTTTGGAGTTTTTATTTACATGGCACCTAACAACAATACCTCTATAGTCCACTCAAACTCTTTTGAGCCCATGTCGTGAGTGGGTGACAATGTCATATGTAATGGCATTTGTGAGCAGCTAACCAGTTCCTTGCCAGTTTAGATGGCGGCATACACAAGACAACTAAATAATTCCCTGACATAAATGTAATGACAGATATGTATAAAAGTCCTTCTCTTTCCTTGTACTAAAATCTAGCTCTGTTTTTCTGGCAAAGAGGCAGATAGTGTAAAATAGCTTCTTGGACAGCTCATACTGTAGCGAACCGTTAGTTAGTTCCCAGTAAATCTGTGGCTGTTTCAGAGCCATAAATATTTGTAACAGCAGAGGGTAGGGTATTTTAATGTGTTCTTTAGGTACATCACACGGTGGAAAAGAGAGCTGGATTTTGGCATCTTCCCTGTCCACTGGTTCCCTTTCTTTCTCTTTCTCCCTGCTCTGCCTGGTACTTGGATAATGAGATCTAGGATGTGATGTGCCTCATGTTGTCCTAGAGTACCCAGCAAACAATGCTGTCTGGTCCAGCTTACAGCTAAAGTGCTTCTTTTCAACTTTGATGTGTCTTCTGAAGTCATATTTTACATGTTCTCAGCTTGGTGCAATAGGGAACTTGATAGACTTAAATTCAGGGACTTCAGAACATCTGTGTCTTTATTACATTTTGAATCACAGATTGACAATATGACTGGCAGTGTGGCATCTCATCCAAATAATAAACTGTCAGTTTTATTGACATATGTTATTTTTCGATGAAAAATCTTACTTTGTATATGTACAGTATTGTAAATTGTCTCTATTTTCAAAAGACTTGTGAGGTTCATATTCTTTGCTGTTGTTTGTCTGTTTCCTCTTTCTAGCTCCGAACACAGGACAGTACTGTCTTTGCTGGCTGCATTCTGTTTGGTTCTTATCTACCTCCTGGTTCAAAGACGGTGCTCATGGGTGTCCAAGGCTGCCCTCGCCCTCGGACTTGTGGGTGTCTACAGCTACCGTGCAGCTGTTGGCAATGTCATGTTTCCCTGGCAACACGCTGGTCGACCTATGTCCAAGTACGTTTTTTCCCCTTGCCCTTCATTAACCTTTCTCTCACTGTAAAATTCAACAGGTTGCTGTTTTGTTATTCTGAGTTGATTTAAATGCAGGAGTGCTGCGTTGCTCTTGTGAGGCTGATCATGCAGGGTGCAGTGCTGCATGACTCTTAAAGAAACAGTTAGACTGACATCTTGTGTACTGAGAACAGAGGGCAAAACATTACATGTCACTTTATCTATCACCTACTCTTTCTTTACCATTAGCCTTCCCTCCCCCCCTTTCCTTAAGTCTCCCAAACAGCAAGTGTTACCCCGAAAGTCCTAAAAAATGTATGTGTACAACATTACACTTAATTAATGTTAAGCACCCGTCTAGGGGGTTAGGTGTCAGAAAAATAAATGTTTCCTTCCTGGTCCCCAAACAAAAGGCCGGACAATTGGCTCAGGCAGAGCGAATTACCTCTTTTTATAACTACCTGAAACAAATGAAACCAAAAGACAAGAACTAAACCTAACTGTGGCACTAACTAAGAAGACAGAGAATGCCAGTTCATTCCTACTGCTTCACAAACTTGAGAATTACCAAAACAGTGATGAATATCAAAAAAATCTACACTTTATAAACAAGGTGTCGGACAACAATTCAGGAAATAACACAGTTTGAAGGCAAAGAACACGGAGCTCTACCTGTGGAGCAGGATCAAAGATCCATACGCATACTTAGGCAGCGTCACACAGGCCATCCGTACCGTGCTGTAGTCAAGGACGATTGGCCCCCTGCTGCGCCATTCCCACGCTGGCCGGCGCCGGCCATGGTACGGATGGCCAGTGTGACCGCGCCCTTATACAGCCAGGGCCAAAACAAACATTTTTAAAAACTGTTTAAAAAAGTAAACAGAACAGACACATAATGGAGGGTGAAATGGAAAGGGGCTGTGGCTCAGTTGGTAGAGTCGGTCATGCAAGCTACATGTCCGATGTGTCCCTCTGCAAGAGACTCAACCTCAAGTTGCTCCTTCTGCTTTGTCAGCGGTGTATGAATGTGTGTGAATGGGATTAGTAACTTCTGATGATCACTTCAGTCAATCAGGGTGTGAATGGGTAGGTGTGTCATGCGGTGCTTTGAGTAGTCAGAAGACCAGAAAAGCGCTGTGTGTCAGGAAAAGATTAAAGCAGATTGTGAACAAACACTTAACTAAAGCGGAAAATAAAGAACAGTTGTATCTGGGAAATGAGAAATAGGTTGATGAATAGTCTCAATATTTTCAAACAACCCACTCCATCACCACCATGGCCCCGCTGTAAATCTGTGGGAATCACTGAAATATTTCAAACAGGTCTGGCAGCAATGACTCCTATAAAATGGCCCACTGTAAGATTATACTGCCCTGCTAGGTTGCTCAAACATACAAACATGCTCACATAATGGCCAATACAGAAGTATTTTCAAAGTACAAACAATTGCCATTTATATGGGTTCATGTAGGTATGCACTTGAATGCAACAGCACATCATACATTTTCTTGTGCTTGATATACCTCCATGGAAGTCATTACAGAGCCCTTTAAGGGACATGGAGGAGAATTTTTGGGTGATCTGGCCAAAACTTTTAAAGTCTTCTCTGGTCAATTAATCGTCAGCAGAGTATTGCTTTTATAAATCCAAACACCTCTGTCCACTCACAGTAAGGTAGAAAGTGGGCTCCAGCATTCATCGATACATGCCTTCCTGAGCTGAACAGCTTACAGTGGCCTCTATGCACAGCCAACAACAGTTCAGTCATTTGGTTGGAGAAAAATATTTGGTTCTAAGTTTGTAAGTTTGTTTACATTTGGCATATGTATTTTATGTTAGAGTCTTTAATAAGTCATGTATCATAGTTCAGTTATTCATTAAACAAACCTATTGACAAACTGCTGTTTGATAATTCAATTCACCATTAAAGGTCACATATTCTTCTCCTTTACAACCAGTTTAAATAAGTCTCAGAGCTCCCCAAAACATGTGTGTGAAGTTTCTTGTTATAAATCCACTCTGATCCTGTATTTGATCATGCCTATAAACCTCTATTTCAGCCCTGCTCAGAACAGGCTGTTTCTGTGTCTGTAGCTTTAAATGTGTGTCAATGTGTTTGACCACCCTCTCTGGAAGGAGATGTTCATTGGGCTTTCATGCACCATGCCCTATTGTTTGGGTGAAAAGGCAGACTCAGAGGGCAGAACAAACACCTAGCCGTGGGAGTGTCACCTACCTGGGGGAGGGGTTACTGCGTTTTGTGATGTCATGAAGGGAAAATGGTGGTGGAGAGGTTGGACTTTCCTCATAATTTGGGGGGTTTGTAGACAAGCTAGGGACACCTAATAGTGTTTTCCAAAAACATGGTCAGGTGTATTTTGCATAATTTGTGACCTTTTAAATGTTGTTTTAGTCTTTTAACTTACACTCCATCACCATTGTCCATACTATTCTATAGTGCTATCAATGTCTCTGCATGTTACCTGATAGTTTTGCAAGAAAAATCCACACTGGTTCATTGAAAATACAAAAATGACTGTGTGTTATTTTTCTCTTCTAGGGGAACAGTGGAGGCACGCTTTGTTTACGTGTTTGTTTTGGGCATCCTCTTCTCCGGCACCAAGGACCTGTTGCGTTCCCAGATTATCACCGCTGATGCCAAGTTGAAGAGCAGGGGATTGTGGGAGCTCTACAGTGGCTTGGTTTTGTTGGTGTCACTATTGTTTCGTGCCCACAACTTGCCCGTCCTGTGCTGCTGCCTGTTGGTCCAGACGCTCATGGCTCAGTTTATCTGGAAGAAACTCCACTATGATGCTGCCCAAACCACCATCATGCATTATTGGTTCGGTCAGGCATTCTTTTACTTTCAGGTAAGCAATCATACCTCATAAGTGATGGCAAGGTTTTTACAGTCTCATTGAATTACTGATGTTTTTTATTTCAATTGTGATTATTAATATCAGTGATAAATAATAATCACTGTTATTATAATAATGACAATGATAATAATATAGACTTGAATATTTGAGACAAAAAAAACAAAATAAAAATGTTCTTTCCCACTTTCAGAACACTCCAGAAAAGCCGAGTTCCCAAGTTTGTTCAACTATTTGCAAAACGGCAGACTTCCTATGTGGTTAACCTTGTTACAACAACAGTGTTATCTTTGTTTGAGGTAATGGGATTGTAAATATCCCTACCAATTTGTACGTACATGTAGGTGACACTGGGCTGCACGGTGGTGCAGTGATTTGTGCTGTTGCCTCACAGCCAGGAGGTTCTCGGTTTGAATCCCCGTCGGACAGGAGCCTCTCTGTGTGAAGTTTGCGTGTTCTCCCCGTGCATGCCTGGGTTCTCTCCGGGCACCCCGGCTTCCTCCAACAGTCCAAAGACGTCCTTGTTAGGTTAATTGGTGACTCTTAATTGCCTGTAGTTGTGAATGTGAGTGCAGCTAGTTGTCTGTCTCTATATGTCAGCCCTGTGATTGACTGGAGAACAGTCCAGGGTGAACCCCGCCTTTGGCCCAATGACAGCTGGGATCGTCTCCAGCCCCCCGCAACCTTGAACGTGAAAAGCAGTATAGATAATGAATGGATGGTTGGTGAGACTTTGTGGACTTCATTTAATCATTTTGAATGGGGTACTATCTGTAGCTATGATTATTATTGGCAGAAAGAATCTGTTCTCAAAGTGTGGTAGCCAAACATATAAAACACAAGGCTGTAAATAGGCTTGAGCTTGTATAGTGCTTTTGTAGTTTTCCGCCTACTTAAGGCTGAGAGGGAAGTATTTCATGTAACCATGAAATGTAAATCATGTAAATCATGAAGAATTTAGTGTCCTGCAGAAGAGGTATTTTGTGTTTTCATTATTTTGGACTGAAATATGCATTTGCTTTTCTAGAGATTTTTTGTGGCTTTATCTCCATCTATAAACCAGATTGTTGACTTCATACCAAGAGTATGTTCTAGACCTGCTCTTTTGTAAAGTGTCCTTTAGCCCTGTTTCCACCAAGCGGGCTGGTTTGGTACGGTAAATCCTGATCTTGCTTGTGTTTCCACAGCCAACTGTACCCTTTACGCATCACTAAATCACAGCGCCACATAGTGTAGACAGCCAAAAAATTCAACTAAGAAGAAGAACATAACACAGTAAACTAAGATCAATGATCATAGGGAAGTGAAGACTCTTTCGACCAATCTGCTGGGGTCGGATCAGTATGCTTGGCACCCTAACAGAAGGGTATCAAAAAAGTAGGACAGTAGGGATCAGTTATTTTGGTAACATTCCCAACTTTTGACAGTGGAAACGCAAACAAATGTGTACCGTACCGAACCAAACCAAACCAAACCGGACTGCTTGGTGAAAACTGGGCTTTAGATAACTTTTCTTATGATTTGGAGCTATACAACTAAAAAAATGATTGATTCAGACATGAGCCAGTTAAAGTCACAAGAGTAAGAACTAGGTGTACAACTGTGGAACCAATCAAGCTACCATCTCTGTAAAATTAATGATCATCACAGGGTTGTTTTTAGAGCTCAAAGGTCAAATGTACACTTAAGTTTAAATGAGCTGACAAAAGGGACTTGACAGAGGAACAAAAAAGTCAATGTTTGTGTTTATTTATGCTTTTGGTGCACATAACTGCATTGGATTGATTAAATGCACCATTTACTGCATAGCAGAGCAAATAGCATCACTGTGTTCTGGTGCTGTTTGCAGGTTTTCAAATCCAAACAGCAAAAAAGGAAATAAAACTTCAGGTGCAAAAGACGACAAAGTAAACAGAAAAGTCGGCACGCTAAATGTCCTTTAAAGCGTTGCAATGCTGATCAAGGCTTTGTGCTGAAATGTGTCAGTTGTTGATCTGTATGCTGCTGCTCTACCCACACAATACTGACTTTAAGGACATTTAGTGTGCTGACTTTTCTGTCTTCCAGGTATTCAAATCTGCCATTATGCATGCAATGCAAATTAGCCTCACTGTGAAAAGCAACTTATTCTAAAACACCAGCGGAGATAAACACCTGAGTTAGAGTGACTGACAGTTGGTGGTGACTGTGTCATAATATATAAAAGTTTGAGTTTCATGCTCAGCCTTTCTAATGATTATGAGAAAAAATACCCAACGTTGTATAACCAAAAAATAAATAGTGTGTGAATACAATCTGTAAATGTTACTTTGACTGAGTCTGCCTGAGTTTTAACCTAGGCCCATACAGGCACGTTCATTACATGTGTGGAACAGTTTGGAAGACAAGGATGAGAAAGGGGCAACATATAGTGCAGTTGGCAGCCGCATCCATTCTTTACTATTTCAACCAGGGCGGCTGTGGCTCAGTTGGTCGAGGAGCCACATGTCCGATGTGTCCTTGGGCAAGACACTTAACCCCAAGTTGATCCCACTGCTTCTTCAGCGGTGTGTGAATGGGATTAGTCACTTCTGATGGTCACATAGCAAACTCTGCCATCAGGGTGTGAGTGGGTAGATGTGACATGAGATGTAAAAGGGCTTTGAATAGTTAATAGACTAAGCGCAGAACAAGCTCAAATCCATTTACCATTTATCCCAAATTCAAGTATTTTGAGTTGAAGAGACAGAAACCTCGACAGTTAGGAGGGAAAACAGAAAAACCTCCAAATAAACATTGAAACAAAAACAGCATAACTGAAGGATTTAATTGGCCATGATAAAACAGGAAGCAGTATCGTTCAGGGTCAAGTCTAGCATACTCATGAACACTGTTAGAAACAACTTCTTTCCGGAAGCGTTTAAACCCACAGATCTTTGTGACAATTGTTGGTCTGCTTCGGTGAATTGCTCCTCCCGTGGCAATGCTAATGAAAGATCTCTTTGTTCTCCTGCAGGGGAATTCGAACAACATTGCCACCATCGACATTTCCGTTGGGTTTGTCGGGCTGGAAAGTTACATAGAAGCACCCGCCATCTTCTTAACAGCCCTTAGCACTTACGCAGGGCCCCTGCTATGGGCCTGTCATCTCGTCTGCTACCTGAGCTCAGAGAGAGATAGGTAAGTTACGGTTTAACATTCACACAATGGGCATCATAATCGACCCGGGGCATTTGATACTGGGTTTACTTTTGCAGTTGACCGGTTAAGACAACTTGACCCGACTATAAAACAAAAATTATTATCCCATTAAAAAATACTAACAAATGTGTGTTAAGGAAAAAATAAAGTCAAACAGAATTACAAATTGGGCTTATGTTCATCTTTATATCAAGCATTCACTTTTAATCATTTTCATGCCCGAAGAAGTTCAGTCTGTCAGTCTGTTTAGCTAGGAAAACCTAGATACAGACATAGATAAAATGTCTGCCTAGTTTATAGGATTCTTCATGGTTTAGCTCCCCCTCCTCGGTCTGGTTTTATTAACTTCAAAACTGCCACAAATAGGACCAGGACCACTAGAGGTGCTGCTAGGAGGGACTGCACAATCCCACTCTGGAAAACCCCATTCATTCTTGTCCTTCAGAGCATCACATCAGTGGAATTTAATACCGCAATCAATTATTGAGTTAACATCCTCTCATTCATTTAAATATAATGTTAGAAATGGTTTATTGTGAACCAACAATGTCAACACCGATGCTGGACCTACTCATGGTAACTTTATCATGTTGGAGATTATTTGTTCTTGTTACGCACACTGTATATCTGTATGTTTCTACACTAATGAACTTAATGTTAATGAGTTATATTTCATTCTACGATGCCAAAGAACATCTGGCAAAAGGACTGCCGATGAAGATTAGCCTTTGGACTGACTCGGGTACATTTACATCGGTGTGAATGTTTATTTATGGACACAGTCACTTTTTAAATAAATAGATAGAATAACAAAAACCAGTGAGCCATTAATATCAATAGAGTGTGAAACTAGTGAGCAAGCAAGACAGATGAAGAGAAGGCAGACAGGCCAGTCGCTTGATTGTTGCATGTGTGTGTAAATGCAGCCAATAACTACCTCAGCACGGCCGCAGCCAGTTCAGATTGATTACTTCAAGGGCTCGACAACAGCTGTCCTGCTGATTGAGCCAAAACTAAAATGTTCTTTTAGACAGAGGATGGCAAACCATCCCATCGGTCTCTGATTAAAATGCTCTTCATCATTAAAGTCTTGACAAAAAATTCTGCTGGTGGCAGTGTGGCCCATTTAACAGCCGAGCTTTGGTGATCTCAGATCCTTTCATTTAGCACTACCATGAGGTAAAATGTCCCTGTTTTATCCTCGACAGATAAAAGATTTCTATGTAAATTTCACCATCACGGAAAATGTTAATTGGACTTCAGCTTGTGTCGTGCTTTTCTAGTCCTCTGACTGTCGAAGAGCTTTTACGCAGTCAGGTCACACCTACACGTTCACACTCATTCACAGAGACTGCTGTGTAAAGTAACCATCAGAAGTAACAAATCCCATTCATAGACATTCATAAGCAGCGGGAGTAACTTGGGGTTAATTGCCTTGCCCAACGACACATCGGACTAATGGCTGCAGTACTTGCGGGGGACATTCCGGTTGAGAGACGGGAGACCGGTCTTGATTTAAAATTCGGAGTCTGTCCAGTCTGACACCGAGACAAGACCGAGTAATAATGCTTTTGATTCCGAGATGAGACCTTCAAAAAGTGGTCTCGAGACCGGTCTTGAGCGTGCGTGCGTTTGGTATAACATTATACTCTTTAAATATCCGCACTACTTGCCTTCTACGATTATGCTGGTTTACATTCATTTTAACATGATTTGACAGTAATCTAAAACACTCTGGGAAGATAATTAGAATAAACTTGACTCCTGGGAAGAAACATAAGGTCACAACTCAAAAATGGGAAAAATGTAGTCGTATAGGAATCACCAAAAATGTGCACTGAGAAGGATTTAACATCATGTTAAAAAATATGAAGAGTCCTAGATGACCTTGGTTCACACACTAAGTATTTTCACGTCGCTCTACAGGAAGTTTGCTTATTATCCAAAGCTCAGAGTTGCTTGCTTTCTCTCTGCAGTGCTCTCCTCTCCTCTGATGAATCCTTTCTCTCTCTCTGTAGGAGTCCGGTTGCAGTTGGCCATGGCTGCTACTGCTTAGCCCTGCTAAGGTCTGTGCCAGCAGCAGCCTACATTGTTCTGGTCACTGTCCTGCGGTACCATCTCTTCATATGGAGTGTCTTTTCACCAAAATTACTGTACGAGTCCATGCACGTAATGCTGACTGCAGGAGTCTGCCTCTTCTTCTACACAATGGAGCAAAGCCCCAGTCCCAGTAAGTCTTAAGGAGCCGAAGACTTCAGAAATCCCCTGCTATGAAAGGATTGGACAGTTTACTGTGTGAAGGACTGTCAGACTGATACACAGGACAACATGCTTACCCTCACTTATTATCTTTCCAATCTGTTAATATGTGAGAAGTTGCTTTTGAAAGGGTCCTCCTTTTGCACTCTGTTTGGTTTCCCAAAAAAAAAGAGATGGAAATGAGAATGTACTTCTGTAGTCTTTTCAGATATTTGCGTCTCTGTGGGGACAAACATTATTCTGGTGAATGAATGTGAAATGGCGTAAAGAAGCTTTTTGAAATAGTAACTTTTGAATAAATTGTATATTATCTCAGGAGCAGACTACAGTTGAATACTGTGCTGCTGAAACACTAATGCAGAGCTACATCTATATTTTGGCTATAAGTGACTAATATTTATGTTTCATAGGAGAACATAATGTGTGTTTGCAAATTGGTGAAGTTCCAGTACTCACAGAGCTTTTGATAACACATAAGTAAAGACTTACAACCTTCAGGTGCTTTCAGTTATTCTGTCTGATTCAAGTGTTTGTTGGAGTTGTGCCAAGCACTGCTTGAAGTTACATGAGGCAGCATATCCACTTGGCATTATCCAAAGCAGACAGTTTGTCATGTCACTAAAGGAGAAGCACGGGCATTATTAATAAATTGAGTGATAACAAATTTAGCATCCTAACTTTTTTTTGCTTGTGCATGAACTATACCGTGCCGAAGCACACCTTTTCCATGAGTGCCAAGGCCAAGGAAGTGTACCGTGCTTGGGCACAAATCAGAGCACTCACACTTATCAAATGAACTGCACTTTAGGGGTGAAGCGTGCTTAGGCACGGTACGGATAACCTACGGTCAGAGCGCCCTTAAAATATAAACTTAGGACTTTAGTCATACTTTAGACATAGTGGTCATACTTTCCCGCGATGCATAGCTGGATACAACACAATATTTGTCAAAGTAATATACTGTAGGTAATAATGATATAGGGATGTCTGATCTAATTGTATTCACTTGTAGTTTTTATAAACAGACAACCAGAACCTTAAACTGGTTATTCTGAAGTATGCCAATAAAGAAAAGAACATTTAATGTTTTTACATTTTTTCTTCAGCTCTAACTTAACATTTTTAAGTAATTCATAAAAAGGTTTTCTCTGGTATACATGAAATGTCATCTAGAAAGGTCACCAGACACACTGTTACTTTCTTTAACAACTTTTTGTCTTTTAGTGTAACAAAATACTTGATGAAACTTAAAGGTCACATATTGTCCTCATTTTCAACAAGTTTAAATAACAGTACTGTGAAGTTTCTTGTTCTAAATCCACTCTGATCCTGTATTTGATCACGTCTATAAACCCTCTATTTCAGCCCTGCTCAGAACAGGCTGTTTCTGTGTCCGTAGCTTTAAATGTAAATGATCTGTGTTTGACCACGCCCTCTCTGGACAGTCTTGGGTGGCTTGGGCATTCTCGCTCCATATTGTTTAAGGAAAGAAGGCGGACTCAGAGGGCAGATCAAACACCTAGCTGTGGGAGTGTCACCCACCTGGGGGAGGGGTTACTGCCCTTTGTGATGTCATCAAGGGAAAATCTCCAAACTGCTTTTTGGAGGACAAATTTTCTGAAAAGTGGAGCAGGCAAAAGATGGAGAGAATGGACTTTTCTCATTATTGGGGGGTTTGTAGACTGAATAGAGACACATATTAATGTTAGAGAAATCATGCTGAAGTTTATTTTGCATAATATGTGACCTTTAAGCTCCATACGAGGTAATTAGTTAACTCTCATGTCATAAAATGCTTTTTTATGAAATCTCTTTTTCTGCATAATCTTCTTGAGGCAAGATATAGAATGCAGCTGATTATAAATGAGCTCAGAGTCATAGACAGTCATTCATGTACTACGCATTTCCTGTGTAAATAACTGTCATGTTGTTTTCTGTACATTGTTTCTCAACATTAATTCCTCAGAGATGTATTGCGGGAAAAATGTTCAAATCATTCCAGTGATATGACTTAAAGGTCTGCTACACTTATTTTACTAGCCATTCTTACTTGCTATGCTATATGCGCCTCATCATTTGGATATGTAAGTCATATTATTTTCAGACTGGCAAAGCGCTGCAGACCTCTTTAACGTCTGTGAAAAATGTTACTTCAGTATCTCTGCGAGTGAGCTGTCTACAGTATGACATGCTCATAAGGAACGCTGCACTGAATGAACATTACTTTAGCTCTGTTTAGTCGTTTAGTTTTAAAGAGTGCTGAAGTTCTTTGGTAAAATAGAATGGTAACATTACCATTGTAAAATTGTTTATAAAATCAACTTTTTTCTTTCTTTGTTTGACCTTGTTATTTAATAGTTTCATGGCCGTGTCCGAATTGTGACCACAGGTTGCATCAGACATGGACTGGTCTCAGTGATGCCACACATTGGTTTCTAAAGCAGACTTTTGAAGCCCATCGATGGCGGTCACCATGTTGGAAATGCTGTCTCAAACTAACTTTTGGTCAACCCTAGACACAAACAAATAGCTGAAGCCCCTTTTTTATGAATAACTCTTATCCTTTATAACATCTAAACAGATGGTTATTGTTTTTGTAAATCAACCCCCTACAGTGTGTGCACTAAATAATAATTTATTCAGAACAAATTTATTTTTTGAACAAGGCTCCAAACATGTTTATACTTTAAAAATGGGAGTTTTAGAATGGGTTTGTTTGTGACTTCAATTTCTTTTAAATTGGAGGTTGCCGTTGATTGCAACAAACCTGCAAGACAAGTATGTAGATCAACACATTTCATTCAATGGATCTCAGCATTTGTCAGGTGAAATATTTTGCTGTCTGTACAGGAAGTCACTGTGATAAAATGAAAATGCTCACAAAGAAAAACAAGTCTTCATAACACTCCTCACTGCTCATCTTACCGACGAGTGTAGAAAAAAAAAAAAGCCTGTACAAGAAGAGGCTAGAAATAGCTTATCACAGATCTGATGGGACATCTCTCTCTGTGGAAAATCCCTCCTTTGTATCCAAATACATGTAACTTTGATAAATGTAGCTCTGTGCTCATGATGGATGTCGGGTCTTTATAGATGATATAACAGTGAGTCAGGTCTTTTACCTGCTCTTTTGTAAAATGTCTTGAGATTTGAAAATTAGTTTTGAATTGGCGCTATACAAATAAAGATTGATTGATTGATTGATTGATTGATTAATATGATGGATCAGAAGAAGAATAGTTGAAAGCTTTTGAGCATGTGTTCTCCATCCTGTACATTCATCAGAACAAAGATTGTGTTTTTAAAAGCATTTAGTCAGTTTTTTAAAAGTTACCTTTATTAAATGTCTTATAACCGGTCAGAATCCATTCATTCTTTCATTAAATGTATTGATTTGTTTTACAGTTATCTCTGTTCAGTCTGTTGGACTCAAACAAACCCATATATTTTAGGGTTCCTACATGACATTTCTTCATGTTAAAAATAAAATGATTGATCTTTAAACATCCTTTAATGCAGAGAGAGGACAGTGGACAGAGTCGGAAACCAGGGAGAGAGAGCGGGGAACGTCGTGCGGAAAGGGGCCACGGGTGGAAGCGAGCCCGGGCCTACCGCTCGAGACGAGAGTCTCAACACATGGGACGCGCGCACTAACCATTGCACCACCAGCGCGCCCAATCTGTAAACATCCTTGTTTTATGTTCTTTTTTGTAACTATGCATCCTGTTTGTGTGTGCACATTTTTCACCACGTTGTTTGTGTCTTCCCTAAAGAAGAATGGTTTTAAATTGTACTTCTTATTTCTGCCTGCTGATAAGAAAGTGCTGCATCACGTGAATAATTGAAAGGGACAGAGGAATATTTCCCCAAATCAGTTTTATCAACACTTGTTTGTATGGGATTACTCTTATAAATAAAATATAAATGGGTAAACACAGATTCCTGGCTTTATTTTTCAACTACAACAACAAAAGCTGTTCCAATATGAATATAAGTCTTCATGTAAAAGTAAAAGTAGTCTTTCAGCTTTCTTACTGACTGTAAAACTGGAAAGAGAAGACAGTGACAAGGACAAATTCCTGTGTACTGGGAGTAATACGGTAGTATAATGGGGGATGTTAACTCATTCTTACCCAGAAAAAATATGTATTTTCAGAGAGTGTCAGATGTTCCTTCTGTGATTTTGTACTTATTATTTATTTTAATTTGTATTTATTTTAATCTCTTTGCTCTCTTCACCAATGACATCTATCATTATGGCAATACCTACAACAGTGGTTATGTTTTTGTTCCCTCCATTTTATCATTTTGTCCATCTTATTCAAGTGTGGGCCACAATGGGACTCTTCGTCTCTGTAACGTCCTGTTAGAGTCGGTCTTCTCTCAACCGGAAGGCCAGGGGCCGGGGGCGTCGGCGTCGTATCAATGGATCAGACATTTCTGATGGTCATTTTAAATAGCAACCAATGCCATCAAAGTGGGAATGTGTAGGTGTGACCTGTGGTGTAAAAGTGTATTGAGTAGTCAGAAGACTAGAAAAGCGATATATAAGCTCACGTCCATTAACCATTTACAATCTTGTGGGGGATCCTGAGGCAGTCCAGGCTTAAAGGGATATATCTTGATAGTCCTCCCAGGCCCTTTTCCTATTTTGCATCTTTATCAAGATGCCCAAACACCTCTACTTGTTCCAGGAGCTGAGATTAACCAAACTTAATTCTGGATGGACTCACTCATCTCACACATTAGTTTGTGCTTCCATGACCAGTGGCTGTGTGTTCAACATTAAACTTTAATGGGAAGTATGAACAACAGTGCTGGCTGTCTACCTCTCTCCGTCTAGTGCGGGGTGTGGGGGGGGATTGAGATGTATCTAATAACAGGGTTAGAGCAGCTGCATAAGAAATTGAAGATTTATAATGACTTGGATCTTCCCTACGAAAGCGACCTTACTCAGCTGCACCACTTTCCTCTTGTGATGCTCCAGGAGTTGTCTGCTAAGTGGCAGACGGCAGCAAGCCAAAGAGGTTATTGCAAGTTTAGATCTGGCTCCCTGAAAACACAGCCACTGCAGGAGGTATTGATTGATGCATGACTCACTCTGTGCTCGCAGATGCCAGGATTCCCCTTCTCCCTTCACTGAATCGCTGCCACATTTTGTATTCCAAGCCACTGAGAGGATCCAGCCCACTAAAACTCTACAAAGCTGTTAAGACCACTGGAGGGAAATACTTGCTGTTTGCATTAAATTACTACTGGCTTGACTGATACACACTCGTTTACGCTTTGCAAACTACATTTTCGTTGACTTGAATTGAGAACCCTTCATTTAAAAAGACTGTGATTCTACTTTTTCAGGCCTGCTTACCGATCAAAGTCACAAAAGAAAACAAGTAGGTGATTGTTATACATGGCATTCTATAAACTAAGTCTTTTAACTTCAAATGTTAAGATGTGTCAAGGAACTATTCTTGGACTTGGAAATTGACTCCATAAAGAGAGTCTTAATGCAGTTTGTCTTTTGGAGGAGTTTCAGGTTAAACGAAAATCTGAGGCACCCAGAAATTCCATTAAAATTGTACTTTTCAGTTTATGAACAAAGTAGCCCAAAGTTAGTTATAGCAAATAATATTTTCCAGCAAATGGCACTTTTGTTTTCACATTAATGGCAAAGACATGATAGGCATCAGGTAAAGAGAAGTTGGTTTTTATTGCCCAAAAGTTACTTGAAACAGCTCAACAATCCCTGAAGCTTAGGCCTGCAAGGGTTCACTTATACCAGCAGGTTTCTAGTTTGAAATTGACTGGCTGAAAAACTTCAACTATTAAGAGCAAGGAGACGTGTTAATTATTTGTCCAAAAAGTTAAGTACTACTTTTTCCCCCATTAAAATAGTTATTAATAGTAAAACACATGTTTATCTGGTATGCATTGTAACTAATTCACAGGCAGTCACATCTGTGTTAGTGAATGGAGTTCCCTAAGTTGTCTGTGTGACGGATCTGTTTCTGTGCAGCTCGGTTTGCCATTATCGGTAACTGACTTTCTTTCTATTTCTAACCATCAGTCACACCAGTGCACACT